TATTCTAGTGAGTTAAAACTTATACCAGCTGTTCATGGAACTACTCTGATTATGTAGAAAAAGTTATTTCACTCTTAACTCTTTATTTCTCCAAGTTAGCACAGGTATGCGTTTTTTGGCAATTTGCATTTCCAGCCTGCCAAAATATGCATCCCCTCTTTATTCTCCCCAAATATTATCATATTGATATAAAACTCATACCAGTAGTTTACAGAACTACTCTAATCATTTAGAAAGTTATTTCACTCTTAACTCTTTATTTCTCCAAGTTAGCACAGGTATGCGTTTTTTGGCAATTTGCATTTCCAGCCTGCCAAAATATGCATCCCCTCTTTATTCTCCCCAAATATTATATTGATATAAAACTCATACCAGTAGTTTACAGAACTACTCTAATCATGTAGGAAAACTTATTTCACCCTTAACTCTTTATTTCTCCAAGTTAGCACAGGGATGCATTTTTGGGCAATATGCATTTCCAGCCTGCCAAAATATGCATCCCCCTCTGTTCTCCTCAAATATTATTCTAGTGATTTAAAACTTATACCAGCTGTTCATGGAACTACTCTGATTATGTGGAAAAAGTTATTTCTTTATTATCACTATTTCAAAGATACTGAAAGAAGTAAATTTGATATGCAACCTTCCTAAATGCATAGCATGTACAAATAATATTTATTTTGTTCTTACATAAATATAACATACATTTACATTTACATTTTTTAAGTACAGTCATAAAATCATTCTTAAACTCAGTTGCCTATGGTCCTAGAATTATTTTTTCGTCCTTACATGTCAGGAACATGATGTTGCCTTCTCAAAGAATGATCTACGAAACAAATATTGATGATTAAGAAAAAGCTTTATGTTGACAAAACCCAATATCATCTTTGGTAAACAAATAAGAAACTAAAAATATTAATTATGTTGTTATTTGACCATTTTTATTTCTTTATTCACAGATCGCATGTGACAGATGCAACTGGTGATACCACCAAGGCTGTGTTAATTTCCCACAAACCGGCACAGACTACTGCTGTGCAATGTGCTTATAGATTTTATTTTTGCACCAAAACACTCCTTTAATTACTACAGTTCAGTTCATTTGCAGTTTTTACACAATTTTTGCTTGAAGTAATTGAATTTCCAAAAGTTACTGTTATGAATACCATTTTATTGAAGTTAATAATTTTTTTTTTCATTTTTATGTTAAACCAAAATAAAAATTGTTTGTATATGCTTTACATTTAGCAAGGTTGCATGTCAGATTTATTTCCTTCACTATCTTAGCAACAGTGATAATAAACATGACTTTTGTACCGATATAAAAAATATCATAACTGAACATCCTACATGAAAATCATATGTAATACATAAGTTTCATATATGGGGGACAATAAATAAGGCATGTATGTTGAGAAAAATGCATCCCTGTTCTAACTTTGAGAAATAAAATGTTAAGGGTAAAATAACTTTTTCTACATAACCAGAGTAGTTCCATGATCTGCTGGTAGTAGTTTTAAATCAATTGGACAATATTTGAGGAGAATAAAGAGGGGATGCATATTTTGGCAGGCTGGAAATCCATGTTGCCAAAAAATGCATCCCTGTGTTAACCTGGAGAAATAAAGAGCTGAAAGGATTTCACCTTTTCTACGTAATGACACTTGTTCTCTGAGCTAATGCTATAATTTTTATATCAACAGGATGGATGCAAATATTTTCAGGCTCATGAATTAAAATGCATTCCCTCCTACA